GCAAGGGTGAGAAAGAGCCTTCCGGACAAAACCTGCAGCCTCTTTCGGTAAAGCACATGTTCAGTTTAAGGAACATGCAGTCACAAATGCACTCATTTACATTCCTCAGTTTGGTGAACAAGCATCTGCAGAAGTGTTTCTCTCAATCACATCAATGATGCTTTAGGAACAATAACTCACGTGTGTTACAAAAGAGCACTTTTTCTTCTTGTTCCTGATATTTAAATCCCCTGCTCTATCTAAATATCAAAGCATTTGTCACTTTTCCTACAACTCAAGATAACTGGCTCCTGGGTCCTTGCCTTCCAGGCTCCTTCTTCTCCCCATGCTCAGTATACAATAGAAATTAAGTGTCCGTTTTCTGTCCTTGTCTAATATTCTTTCATCTCACTAGCAATTCAGACAGTCCTGGAGGGAGTTGAATCCGCAGCAGGAACACTGCACACTGAGGATTCCTAAGCTTTCACCAGTGTTAGCTACATTAAGGTACACATCAACCACCTTCACACTTCAGCTTTTGTTACTGCTTTGTAATAGTTTTAAACTGAACAAGTAGAAAATTTATTAAAAAATAAAAATAAAAAATGCAGTTTTTTGAGAAACAAAATATATTCTTCAGCCACATTTACACTGATTAGAAACTGTAAATATTATTTCTTCAAGTGCTTACAATAAAATCTGTGCTTTCATTTTGCTTCATTCTGAACCAGTTTGCAATTCAGTTGAAACTGCATTTCAGTTTGCGGTTTGTTTTTCCTTTAATCTGAAACATGCCATCCTACATTCTCCAGTTGGAAGGGTGATTTTCCAGAAGTGTAACTATATCAAAGAATTTATGATTTTTTTAATTTTATTTTTTTATTCACACAATAGTGCTTTGATAAGTAGTGAACAAAAAACTATGAAGCAGAATAGGTTTTGGACGGCTTTCTGCTGCATGATGAGTTCTGAGGTTTATTTTTGCATCTCAAATCACAAAATAAATTATAAAAATTTTTATAAAGTGGTAATTCTGGTTTTCATTTGGCTCACAGGCTTTTCAGTGTTTCTCACAGGTGCACTCGACCAACAACAGGAAGAGAATAGATGTAAGAGAGGAAACACATCAGTTTTACTTAGTAGTCCCCTAAAAAGAACGAAGACACATCTTTATGGCTACTGTTCCATGGCAAAGAAATAATACAGTCCTCTTCTGATTTTTACTGCTTGATTTTCAGTATATCCTTTAATGTTTTATTTGTCATCTTTCGTCAACTGAAGAGAAAGGAATCACTATTCCTGTCAAAAAGGCACCAAGCAGCTGTCACCTTTGCTTATGGTTACAGCTTGGATGAAAACCTGACATTACTGAATTTCTAAGTGAGCTTTCTGTGCAGAGTGTCATAAGCTGGTAAGAAGACAAGCAAAAAGATCCTACCTGGATTTAGCAAGGGATACTCCAGAGGATGTAGGTGCTCTTAGTACCTAATATAAAACACATCCATTCACTAAAAGTTTCAGAAATGAGGCCAGCAGAAAAGCTTAACATTTCTCCTTGTATCTCATCAGCTTGAAGACTGGCAATAAGACAGGATCTTCCCACTTGGAAAATCCTCATTGAGGTTTTGTTTCGGTCTACCTGTATGTCCGTTTGTTGTAGTTTAAATATAGCCTTCCCCAACATAAAAGCATATCTTCCTAACAGGATATTTATGTAATAAAACTATATTTTTACAGATTATGGATATGAAATCTTAGCTGAGGGTTGAATTTTACAATCCATGATTTTTTAGAAGCCATGCAAACTCCACTGATTTGAATCGAAAACCTGAAATTGAAAGGAAACAACTCATAAAATGTAAGGAGAATCTAAAACTCGTAAAGATTACTTTCTCATTTGATTTATGACATTTTCAAGGTAAACCACAAGACACAGGCAAAGACTGTGGTTGCAGTGGGGAAAGAACATACAATTACCCTAAACAAGATGAAAATACAAATACAGTATTACCTAAACCCAAATAGATGCAAAAATGGGAGAGGTAAAGTACATTGAAATGCTACATTGTGGTTCCAGAAACTTAACATGGGCATTTAAAAAGCAAAGCATCACAAGTAAGGGTGATTGAGAGCAGGGATTTTGCTAGCCCAGGCTTTCCTGAACAAGGAACTCAGGATTAGAGCCCCAGAAGGATTTGGCAAAAGGAAAGACAAAGTTGGAAGTAGGATTTTCTGTACTACACATTTCCCCAAGAGGGTCTTTGCCCTCAATCATGATTTGCAGCAAGTCTTGTGTACTCTGCATGCACTATCCTCTCCTGCAGAAGACACTAGGGAACCATTGCATCATTCTTATTTTGTTCCTTGTGATGGACATCTTTCTTACTGGAAACCATACCACGGGAACCTACCCTTTTTGGAGAGCTCTTGTAGGCACTTAGCCACAAAGACTGGTTCCTTTCAACCTCTGTTCAAGAGGTGCCTAAGTTTGAGAGGTACTTATGTTTAACTGATGGTAGTGTTCCGCAAGGACATAAAAAGGCCTTCAGCCAGGCCATGACGCTGTTTTCTGTACTGCAGCATCTGTGAGTGAATTATTTTACTTCCTTCTTATCAGGATGTGCTCTTCGAAAAAGCAATTTTAGAATAAAAAATGTTTGTGATCAGCCCTAACACAAAACTGAACATAAGAGGTATTCAATAGCTTTATGACCAGTGTGACAGATTTAATGGAAATTTTCACCTATACTACTACCTCCCAAGTATCATAGAATCATAGAATCACAGAATGGTTTGGGTTGGAAAGGACCTTAAGATCATCTAGTTCCAACCTCCTGCCATGGGCAGGGACACCTCACGCTAAACCATGTCGCCCAAGGCTCTGTCCAACCTGGCCTTGAACACTGCCAGGGTTGAAGCATTCACAACTTCCTTGGACAACCCATTCCAGTGCCTCACCACCCTCACTGTGAAGAACTTCTTCCTTAGATCTAACCTAAAGTTCCCCTGTTTCAGTTTGAAGCCATTACCCCTTGTTCTACCACTAGAGTCCCTAATGAAGAGTCCCTCCCCAGCATCCTTATAGGTCCCCTTCAAATAGAACATACGTTGTCTATTGGACTAACATCTAGGAGTGAGATCCCTTATCCTGTCAGAGCAAATATCTTTCACTTACAAAGGCTTATTAATAGAGGTCTGTAGGAACTTTCATATACATAAAAAAATTCTGTTTGTTTTGAGAAATTTTAAGGTTGTTAGCCACGAAGGGGTGCCGCTTGAGAAGGACTTTTGAGGAAACAGAACTCATGAATAGGTATTTACTATGGTAAGTCATAGATAAAAGAATTGAAATAGATAGCATTAAGGTTTTTTTCCCAGAGCTTTGTGTTAGTGAGCGATTTTTCAAGTTCCCCTGAAAACTGAAGAGTTAGTTTCATTCTTGATATAGCTCCGCTGACAAGAACAGAATTTCATCTGCAATGGATTTAGCTCAAAGGGCTTTTTGCAGTTGTGATCATGTGATGTGCTCATTACTTAGAACATGTTTGCTTTGTGTCACATGTATGATATATATTACGAACACATCTCTGACTGCTTTGCAATTCCTGTTTTCTTGTGCCTTTTCCTGGGCTTCCAACAGCTCACTGGGAAGCTCCTGGAAGACTGGCAACATTAGTTAACATCACTTGTTTGATACTGACTCTCACTCCTTCTGAATATTTTTAGCTGACATTTGAAGCACTATGTCAGATTGATCAGATCAAGAAACAACAGAAAGAAGCCCCCACTGAGCTTCTCGATGCTGTAGCTATACTTTTTCTGGGTCTGTACTCCATTTATTTTTAGAGTTGAGCATCTCTTTACTGCACAACAGCCTTCAGTAGAGACTTCACCAGGTATCAGGAATCACTAACAGCTCTTTTGTGAAAGGTCTAGCAAGTTACTCAGTAAAAGCCTCTGTCAGAAATCACAGGGTTTGTCAGAAATCACCATTTTTGTCAGAATGGTTCCTTTGAGCTAGAGTCAGCCAGCACCAAGAGAACAACAACTTAATGAAAATAAGCACGCATGCATATGGCGCATTGAGGCATGAGTTCTTGTTTGCAGCTGCTGAATGCTGACATGCTTTATGAAATAAATGACCTAAACCATAAGCTATTGTGTGTGCCAAGAAAGATCTACATAGGCCAGCCAGTGAAAGCACGGTTTTACTTTGCAGACTGCAAAACTGAACCTAGTTTTGCAGAATTACAGGTGGTGCCAAAAAGACCACTGCAAACAGAACGTTTTTTAACAACTTAAATCTTGCAGAAATTGAAACTCCGTAGCTGTTCTTTTTGTTAGAAGAGGGTTTGTTACTTCTGTAGGCCTGGTCCCTTCAACCTGTAAACGAGTCCAAGCAAGTGCAATGTGCCCCTGGTTCTCAATTATACATGATGGTTTTTATATCTTCTGTTTATATCATGAATATACCAAGACTAATTGATTGCATGTTCTCCTTTCCCCATTGGGAAACAAATAAACAAACAAACAAACCCCAGCACTTACTTGGAATGGGTCACTTTAGGGGAAAAAAAAAAGGTCAGAAAATATTGTATATTACAAGAAGCAAGGTCATGGCATCTGGAGTAGATAGAATGGATTTAGCTCCTGGAGATCCTATGGCCTAGCGTTCTCATGCAGACATCAATTTCATTTCAGTTTGTGATATGTGTTTTTCTTTATGTTACAATAACGTTGGAGGTGTGATAACATATTGATAACATATAGACTGCAAACAGTATCCGAAAGCCATTCGGCAGGGAAAAAGTTAAAAGCTAGGAAGAAGTGAGACTGGCAAAATGCTACTGTGATATGGAGGGAAGAGAGAAATTTCAGAAGATAATTTCAAAGGATTTCATTCATCCAGAGATAATCTGTCAAACTACATAAGGCTTTCCTTTTTAGTTTGATTAATAAAAGTACATTCGATTTCTGTTAATTTCTCTTTTGAGATTTCTCTCTTGAAATTTGTCTTCTAGGTTTTTAAGCCAAGTGTTCATGATATGATCCATCTGGATTACAGGGATCAACAACCCTCTTGTGAATAATGGTTAAAAACGGATCCCACCTGGACACTGAAACACTGGCAATGCTCCAGAATAAAGCTATCTCCATCACCCTCCCAGTTGTGTATACACTGGTGGCTTTGATCAGTATCCCTGGCAACTTGTTCTCCCTTTGGGTGCTCTGCTGGCACATCAAACCCAAAACACCTTCTGTCATCTTCATGATCAACCTAAGCATCACAGATCTCATGCTCGCCAGCTGCTTTCCCTTCCAGATTTCTTATCACATCCAAGGCAACCACTGGAGCTTTGGCAAGACTCTTTGCAGCCTCGTAACTGTGATGTTCTACTCCAACATGTATTCTTCCATACTGACCATGACCTGCATCAGCATTGAGCGGTACATGGGTGTGGTATATCCCATGAAGCTGATCAAGTGGAGAAGAAAAAGATATGCCCTGGCTGCCTGCCTAGGTATGTGGATGTTCTTGCTACTAGCCTTCTACCCACTAGAAAGCACAGATCTGACCTATGAAGTGAAAGAATTGGGGATTATAACCTGTTTTGATGTCCTCAAGTGGGATATGCTGCCCAATTTCGCAGCCTGGGTAGTCTTTCTCCTCACACTATTCGTCGTGCTTTTCCTGATCCCTTTTGTTGTAACAGTTGGATGCTATATTGGCATAATTCGGAAGCTTATTCAGACATCGAACAGATATGGTAACAGGCAGAAGACTAGATCCATATACCTGGCGATAATAGTCCTTCTAGTATTTGTTACCTGCTTTGCCCCCAATAACTTTATCCTACTTGTGCATATGATCATCCGCCTGTTTTATGGCTGGAGTTTGTACCCTGCCTACAAGCTCACCTTATGCTTCAGTTGCCTCAACAACTGCATAGATCCCTTCATTTATTATTTTGCATGCAAAGAATTTTACAGGAAATTCATGGAAGTGTTTCGTTCTAAGGTTCTGCTCAGCGACAGTTTGGAAACCAGAAGGGAAAGCTTGTTCTCTGGCAGGACCATGTCAGCCAGGTCGATGTCAAGCGGACCTATGGATGGATTAGAGGGAGTGAAGGTCTATTTGCAAAGGCGGGAGAGCGTTTTTTAGCCTTAGACATCCCTAGAAGAAAGGCATGACATCCATGAGCAGACACAGAAAACATTTCTTTTTGAATAGCTACCCTCAAAATACCTTGCTCCAGTGACAGACCCTCAACACATACTTGTATTGTGCATCCTACTTCAGTATTTTCTGTTAAGAAATGGAAGCGTTAAAGGAACTGAGTTTATTCCAGAAGGCACTGAAGCAAATCCAGTACTGACTGATAGATGTTGGCCTGGAATTAGTCCTACTGCAAGAAAGAAAGGGATAAGTTTAGAACAAAAATTACTTCCAGGTTGTATGACCTCAGTGTTTAACCAAAGGCTTGTGATTCTCAGTGAATGTGAAATATTACTGTATATGAATTAGAGCATACACTGAAGTTGAATTTGGGGTGAGTTATTTTTATAAGCAATGTGCTGGGTTTTTTGTTTGTGGGTTTGTTTTTTTTGTGGGATTTTTTTTTTAAAACCAAAAGTTTTTGCTTACTGTCTTGTATTTCTATAAAAGAATGAGTAAAAATAGCTTGTCATTCTACCATTAATGCATAATGCATAGCCACTGTGAATTTACCACAACACTCACCCAACTGTTTATCAGAACCAAACCACATTAACCTTTGCAAAGGTTAGTTTGACTTATTTATTTCAATTTTAAATAGCAAAATATCTCATAAAATGAAACGAAAGCTAGAGCTAGTAGTATGAGACTACTTTAGCTGCTGAGTGGATATTTTCATTTCTTGAAGCTATTAATTTTTTGGGACAGTGGGGAGCAGTTGATTTAAGAAAACAGATTTTATCACATTGACCGTAACAATGCTGCTGCTTTTAGGGGATTGGTATCAACAGGTCATTTTCACCAATTACCTATAGGCTATACACAGAAGCACCATCCCATCAGCAGAGAATTTAGCCTTACATAGTGCACAGGCAGTGAGTTTACCTTCCTTATAGTGATAGTGTTGATTATTAACCAGATTTTCAGCTGTTTATATGAGAAGTCAACCACAGACTGGAGTGATTCTGTGCCAGCAGAAACTAGCTTAAAACCTGTCCCTGTGGCCAGATGTCAGAAATGTACTTCTTTCAAGTAGGCAAACAGAAAGGAAAAGAAAAAATGGAAGCAAGGCTTGAGAATGGGAGATGTACCAATTACTCTGGAAACAGGTTATGGCAGGTTGATATGCAGCCCTGTGTTTGGGACTCCACTCTGAAATATCCTTCTCCAGCTTGTTTGCATATGCTATGTTGTGTTCTAATTATTCTCACATCTCAACAACTGCCTGTGTGCTTGGGAAGACAACTGCTAACAGAATATGCACTGGGGACAGAAAAAGGTAAAGTTTTTCATGTAGTATTTACAGCTTTTGGGCCTCACTGACAGAGAAGAGTCAACAAACACTTGACAGTGCCAGACGAGCTTCACCTCACAAGCAAGACAAAGCTACATGGTATCCTTTGGCTGCATTGTGACCTCATCCAGTGCTGAGTTCGAGGCTGTCTTCGACATTGTGGATAATTGGTTCAGACAGCACATACTAGGTCTGCCTTGAGCAGACCTGTACCAATTTCTGAGTTCCTGTGCCTAAGACAACACCCAAGTCCCTTAAAATCCTCCTTTTTTCTTTGTGTATGGCATGATTAAGGCACAGTTTTCTACCACTAATCACCAAGAGTTTCTTCACGGTAGAGCCTGGATAACCACAAAATGAGCTGTGAAATATTTGTATGTCCTATATTCTGCTAAAGTGCGGTTAGTTATTGGAGCAGGATAAATGCACAGTGTTAGTTTTAATCGATCTGCACATCTTCTGCCTAGAGGGCCAACCCTAGTGTCCAAACCTTCCCATCAATTGCCTGGAAGCTACACTGCACTACCACCCTCTGTTCTGGGTGCATATGTGCAGGGAGATGAACTTGCTACTTTAAATCACCTCGCATGTGCTAAAAGAGGAGTCCACTGAATATGTTCTTGTGCGAGTCCAGGGCTCTGAGCTCCTGTGTCAGCTCTAGCACATGCTCCAAAATGCCTGCTTGCACCAGAACCTCCAAAGAAAGAACAACGGCTCTTCCTAAGCTGTTCCACATCGGTCAGGCAGAAATTCATTTAGTTTACTTATGTTTTCCAAACCTGCCTATTAGTTTAGCAGTGCATGGCTTCACCTTGCTGTTTAAGCCCCTTCACCATCTGCTTTCACAGAATTTCAGCTTTCTCACTACCAAAACTCTTTTCAGCATTTTGCTGTGGCAGAAACTGTTTTGGAGGTTTACTGAAATCGCTCTCCTTTTAAATTTTTTTTTTTTAGCATACAAATATTTTTACAATGAAAACCATTACTTCTCCTAGCTCTAATGCAGATTTTTACCCTGTTTTATCTTGAACCTGATCTTCAAGCACGTAGTGCCTCCTAAAACGTGCTGCAATGTGCCTGAACTGCAACTGACACCAAACAGAGCCAAAAGGGCAGGAACTGCACTTTAGGCATCATCTGCTACATTTTGAAAAATACTGACTTGCTCCTTTTGCAAGAGAGAAAAGATGCTCAGACTGACTGAAAATGTCCTCTTCAGCCTCATGCAGGTCCTCATAGCCCTTCATCCCTCTTCTGACGTTGTTTAAAAAGGAACAGGAAGGATGGCTCATACAGGTATATTTTTCTGCCATTTTATCAACTACCCTTTAGTCAGCTCAGATTAGGCAAAATTCCCATTTGGGTCAGTGGGATTATTCCTTGAGAAAGGAATATATAAATGAACCCAACAACAGCAATCTTTTGAGTCCGATGGTGTACACTGTGAAGTTTTAAAGTGTTTTTTTTAGAGATGAGGAGAAGAAATTGTTTTTAAAAGTGTTCTTTGACACTGGAAATGTGTCCTACTGGGGCATCATAAGGTAGCAAGACTTCTACCCTCCTTAGTCAGTGGGTGTGAGTTGGCATACATGTATATACATATAAATATATACACATAAATCTAGATTGCCATTTTAGAGGTTATTAAGAAGTTCATGACTATATTGCCTTTGGTTTGGGGAATATGGGTCCTGAGCAACATGCTTATTTAATTGCCTCTGTGGTTAATGTAATTTTACTGAAGACATGAATGTATAGGCTTCTGTTTAAGTTTTTTTTGGGGGGGGAGGGTTGTGTTTGGTAGGGTTGTTCTTTTTTTTTAATTATTGTTTAGAAATGTAATCTATGAATGTGCTTGGACATTTTTGTATATATGATAATAATAAAACCCCCAAACCAAACAAACATAAAAAGGTCGTGATTTAAGATTCTTTCATTTGTTTGCACATGCAATGTGAGAAACTTCCAAGCTTAGCAGAGGGCAGGGAAACCAAGTTATAAAATAAAATTAATCTATTTCCCATCGCTATTGTGCGTTTTTTTAGATTTCTGCATTAAGTTTCTTATTATTCCCATGCTTTTTTTTCTTTTTTTTTTTTTTGCATACCTCTTATTTTTTTTTTCTTTTTGTTTATATGTATCTTAGAAGCTGGCAGTGGCATATCCCCTTCACACAAATTTTAAGAGCAGCAACACTTGGATGAGATGTTGGCTAACTCAGAATCCTTCTCCTTGCCCAGTAGATGCACCAAATATATATGTTTTTAAATTTCAGTGCATTTCTGAAGGAGGCTGTCAGCCAGGGCCTCTCCCACACTGAGCCAGGATCAGGGCAGACAGGGGCAATGGGGCAGCCCCAGCACTGGGCACCTGTTTTTGCCATTTTTTTCAGTTCAAAGTGTTTAAAATAACATGATGTCTACATTGATACCCACTAGAGTAGTGTTTCTCTAAGGAGATGCTTAGGGTATATGCTACATACCCAAAGGTGTGCATGATAGCATGAGTGTTTGAGGGTGAATTTCAGTGTCAGTAAGTGTGAAATAATGCACATGGGAAAATCCAGTAATAGCTTTGTATACAAAATGATGCTTCTTAGCAGTGACAACTATGAATCATAAAACATAACTCCCTGCATCAGCTCAGCATTGTGGAAATCCATGGTTCACCCACACCTTGCTTACTTCGTGCACTGCTGGTTCCTTCATCACAGACAGGATCTACAAGAACTGGAAAAAGTCAAGAGACAGGCACATGGGATAATCTCAGGTATAAATTTAAAACGTATGTGTTAAATAGTTTAGGGCTTTTCAGCTCAGGAAAGACACAATATAAGGTAGGTTAGAAAGAAGTCTACAAAATCCTCAGTGGAGTGCAGAAGTTAATCAGGACAAGTTTCACTGCCTTTGCCTAAGCAAGAATTGGGGAATATTAAGCTAATGAGATCCAGGCTCAAAACCAGGAAAAGTTCTCAGTATCATTGGGGAACATCTTGACAAGAATGTTGTGTATGCACATAGAACATGGTTCCACAGAGAGACTGGAGAAGTGCCTGAAAAAGAAATCCATTAGACATTACTAATAGGCAAACCACAGTAGACTCAGGAAAACCCATAAGGCTGAAATGGTCAGAGGCTGGAGGAGTATTAAGGGGAAGTGACATTATGTGATTGCTCTATAATTAAATCCATTCTGAAACAAAGAGGAACTCGCTATTGGAATAAATCTTGTACTGTCTTTCCTCATTTATGTGGTAGTTCATAGTCTTAAAAGGAGCTATTGAGAGCAAAATTTCAATCATTCTGTTCGTCTTGATACATTTGGATTACTTTCATTCTGGATTAAATTTTTGTAAGTAAATGTTCTCTTGTCAAACCCATAGAGTGTACTTATGGACAGCATAATAGAGTATAATGCTTAGCTGAAATATCTTTTTTAAAGCTTGGGTATTTTTGACAAAAAAACCCCCTGTTTCTCTGAAGTCTGAGCTCCTATTGAGCTCCTGGTCTTTCATGACTTGGTTGCAAGTCTTATGGCTTCCAGTATTTTGCCTTCAAGTCTAAACAGTTGAAAAATGTTATCAAATGAGAAGACTCTCAGGCCTCTTCAATTATAAAACAAGAAGTTCAGAGCTGTCAGACAGAATAACTTTTTAGCTTTCAACACAAATAAAAACCTCAACCCCCTGCTTGACTGTCTTGGCTCATGATGACGTCCTCTAGTCAGACCTTTTCTTTTCCTTCTGCAGGCATTTTCAGCACTAGGACACTGATGGTTCTCTTTCCCCATTT